AGTTTTGCTATATCCACAACATTCACCGAGAAAATGCATTTCTTTATTAAATCATCTTCATTTAATCGTAAGCTAAGAATCAAAGCCCTGCTCGGTTGATCTTCATCAAGTGCAGCATTGATCGCCTACAAAAATATATATATATAGAAGATGATGTTAGAAAGGATAAATGGTTAAAGACAACATTCTCAACTTCTAAGATTAGTTAGAAACGTGCCAGAAATATCTTTTTCCTGCTCGTAGTTCTGTATTTGTCTTATCGTAAAATATTTTTTTTCCTTTGGAGGCAATAACTTATGCGTGTATGGCTGTACAATAATAACTACATTCATTACCTCAGGTGTGACGTCAATATCGAGATCGGTTGGATCAAAGATAAAAGATTCGTCAATTGAATAAACAAGAACTCCCTCGGTTGTTGAGGCTGCAAAATTTCGACCAGTAGGTGCAATTCTCAAGCATTTTGTTCTTACAATTGGTCGCCCACGATTGAGCATCGACCCAGGTAAATCATGGCCCAATTTCTCCCGTGTTTGTTGGTCAACTCCTTCTTCTACATCACTGTCATCATCATCAATCAAATCTATGGGCCCAGCCTCAGTCATATTCTTTGAATTTAGAACATCAAGAACTCCATCTAAAGAGAGATTGTGGGTTATTTGAAACCTGCGCAGCAATACCTGTGCAAGCACAACATGATACAACGAGAAAAATGTGAGGGAAAAGACAAATGGGAGACAAGCATAAAATGTAGAAGTAACAAAATTTAATCTAAATTCTTTCAACATAAAACACGAATCAACAAACAAGCCAACCTACTATATTTTTAATACAACAAAAATTTGAGATCCCAAACCTAATCAAGGAATTGAAATTTTAGATCATCTTCGCACCTCAGAGGGAACATGCATAGTTTTACCTTTTAACTTTTGTGGTGTAATGAAAAATTCCAATTAAACAAACACATAATGTATTATGTTCATAACTGATAAGAACAGATACTACACATGCTTCTTAGCCAAAAGGCCAAGAAAGGTATATTTGCATTAAAGCCTTGAACTAGTTAAATGATTGTATAGTTGATATCAAAATAAGTGATTTAGCCTAATGAAAGGCGTGTAGTCAGGTACCACAAATAAAAGTAAAAGCATACAAACTGACCTGATCAGCAATGTCATACATACAGATGAATTTACTACATCCTCCAGCTAATATATAACTCCCATCAGCAGAATAACATAACGTTGTGAAGCACTTCCCTGAACTTGAAGTAGCTGCAGATCTTCTATCAGTCATTAAACGTCCTCCCGCTATGTCCCTACGCCCCTCAATTGTATACATCAATATACCATCAATCGGATCCCAAAAATGGATCTGACCATCTAATGTACTGCTGGCCAACTGCCTTCCATCTGGACGATAAACCACTGTAAGGACATCATGCATATGATTGAACGTTTCAACAGCCCCCTTTCCTTCAAAAACATCCCACAAGCGGACAGTTTTATCCCATGATGAGGAAGCTAAGACTGCCTACATTGAGTCATACAGAGTGATTAGCATTAGGAAAAAGGATAAGCAATAAACCTCTCATCTTTATGGTTATTAATGACATAAAAAGATGGGGAAGAAGAAGAGCACAATCAGAGCAATTTGAGGGAGAAAAAATCCAGCATGAAAAAGGCATCATGTACAATGGTATTTTAGAATAAGAAATTCAAAATGTAAATGGATGCGTTCATAACTCACATTTGTAGGAGAAAACATCAATCCATGAACAGGACCTTCATGCCCACTAAGGATATCCAACAAACGGCCAGTCTTCATCGACCAAACAAAAATCTACAAAGTACATGAACTATGAGGCAGGAAAAGCTAGAAGGGAGTATATATATATTCCAAGAAAGGTCACGAGGATACCTCAAATGAATCTAATGTTCCAGCACAAACAACTTCACCACTTTGATCTACTGCCAGTGAAACAAATTGCCGGGAATTGGGGGAAGTAAAAGTTCTAAAATTTCGATAGCGAAACAGATCCCATGCCCGAACAGTGCCATCAAGAGATGCACTCAACAGACAATGGTTATTTGCCAAGAAATGGAGAGCAGTAATGGCATTTGAATGCTCGGAGAATGTAACAAAGCAGAAGCCTGATTGAACCGTCCACACCTACACCAAACAAGTAACATCAGCCAGTTAATCCATCAACAAGAAATTACTAAAAGAAACTCAAACAAGTTTGGCACCATACAGCCTAACCAATGATGGAAAATTAGAATTATATAAGGGGGAATGAAGTCATATGTCAGTAAGCTACATAGTTGATGAACACAAGTAATGCAATCGCTTTACTGCGGATCATGCTAGTTAAGTTTGGAAAAAAGAATACACCTTCAACATATTAAGTTACCTTGACTTTATTATCATCAGCTCCTGTTGCCAAGAGTTGTGAATCCGGTGAATAAGCAAGACAATTAACATCAAAGTAATGTCCTTGCTGTTTCAATATGTAGCTCTCCGACCGCCATTCCCACACTAGTAACTGACCAAGTTTGGCACACCCAAATGACAACCAGTTGCCATGCTGGTTGAAAATGGCTGTGGTAATTTTCTCTCTTGTTATCGACAACATGTGCAAGCACACAAAATCCGGCATCTGATACAGCCCAAACGTGCCATTAGAGAATCCCACAACCACCATATCAAGGTACCTATGATAATCACACGCAGTCACCTTTGCCGGAGCCTGAGAAAAACAATCCTTCCTCACTAACTCCCATTTTTCTCTAAGCAAGTATTCAGCTTCATCATCCGCTTTACCATCACCAAAATTCTTCCTCTTTTTTACACTAACATCCCCACCACTCTCCACATTTCCTTCACTATCCCTACTAGGAGTCCCCGGTGAGGCCGGTTCCAAATTGTCCACTTCCATCTCATCCAAATTATTTTCTGTAATGCCCCAACTAAAGATATAACAGTCACGCGTAATCGTATAAGCTTTTACTACCTTATTGGTTTTCTTATTAGTCCCAAAAAACGAACCTACAATTGAGTCTCTATGACCCAAAAACAAGTGTGGTTTGTACTTGATCCCACTTATTTTCTTCACATAAAGCAACCTAACAGTCAAATCCTTCGACCCAGCAAGCAAGTAATTGCCGTCCGGACTCCAGTCCAACGCTGTAACTTTATCATTACAATCAGCAAAAGTCCGTACCAGTTCAAAAGGAAAGAACTCTTTCTTGAACCCAGGTGAGCGCCAAATTTGGACCAACTTCCCAATGCCAACAGCAATAAATGCACCATCAGAGCTGAACTTGACGACACTGACGAGCTTCTTGAAGAACATACGGTGAAGCACAACTCGGCGTCGGAGATTGATGAAGAGACAACGATTCTTCTCGTCGACGGTGAATAAGAACGCCCCATCGGGAGAGACAGCGATTCGACAAATATTGGACGACGATTGAACGGGAAGCGTCGCCGTTTGGGACTTAACAAGGTCGGTAACGGAGATTCGGTTGCCGACGGGTGAGATTAACAAGGTGTCCTCCGAAATCAGAACATTGCCCCCTCTGTAAGGCGCCCCTAACAGGTTTTGAAACCTGTAATTCATCGCCGGCGAATATGATTCCGAGAAAGCTTCTGCAAAAAATTCAGTTGTCCCTCGTTGATTTTCAGAATCGAACAGGTAGGGTTTATGGAGGGTTTTAATAGCTTTGGGCCAAACAAACTAAACCCAAGGCCCAATAATGACCCATTAAAAAAAACCCATAAATTGGTTAAATTATAAAATTGGCCTAAATAATTGGGGGAGAAAATTAGAATATACTCCCAAATTAAATCTACAATAAATTTAATAAAATATATAAACTAAATAAATAAAAACATTAAAAAAAATAAGAATAATAAAAACTAAATATGTACTAATAATAAAACATGAAAACTAAATGTATACCAGTATATATGATAAAATTTTGTCCATGATAATTTAACCTAGGGAGTATTTAAAAATATAAAATAAATTTTAAATGCATCGACGGCCCAGGGTTCTAAATTTGGAACCTAACAGTTAGACATGCTCTGCGACATGATCATATTATTTACGCATTTTCTAAGAGTGCTACGAACTGCATAAGTTCTTTCAAGATTCTTTGTCCTTGCATGTTTTTACAAAAATTTCTTATAATTAAACCACCGAAAAATGAATGTGCATTTTGTTGGTATAGATAATAAATAATAACTATTAGCTCTTTCAAGATTTTCTTTAACTATAATTTTGTATCATCGAATCTCTTTTATTTTAATGTGATATCAGTTCATTCATGTGCCCTCTTTTATTCCAGCGTTATGTTTCCACTCACTTATTCGTCCTATAACCACATTCTACTATAAGAAATGATGCTCTACTACCATCTCCAACACCCTCATGTCAAAAATATGGACTAAGATTTGAAAATTTGGCTCGAAATCTAATGATCTTGATATTACATACAACATAACGAAGTTAACTATTTGTCTGAAATATTTGTAGGAGGGAGACTATCCCCACTAAACCAATACAGATGTTTAACATGTTTTTTTTTCACGCACTCATAGTTTTTAGGAAAATTCCTAGAAAGTCATCTACATAAAATTATTCGAAGTCAAACATGTAACTTTTGAATTTTATAATTGAGTCAAACTATAAATTATTTTAAACATTTTTTTAACTATAATTTTGTATTTTTCAACATCATTTTTATTCGTAAATAGTTTCAATTTATTCACGTATATTTTACTTTATTTACTGACTCTTACATGGGAATCCAAAACTTTATTGGGAACAGGGAAGATAAAAAAAAAAGGAATGATGGAAGTTTCGTTCTCTGTACCAAAAGCCCCATGCCCCATTCTACCATAATAAGCCTACTCAAACCAAAAGCATAAGCTTTTTTCTTTTATCTCTTTAATAAACTTTACTACCCTCTTTCTTCTCAACTACCGTTGAAAATGGAGTGTTCAAGAAATGTGTCTTAGCGGTAACCCTCGAGCACCAGCCTTGAGTTCAGCCAACTGCAGACTTCGTTCATCTCTTTTGGGACCGTGTAATGGCCGAGCCTGCAAATAAGTAATCAATCAGTGCCCTCTTAAGCATTTTGATTCTGCTCTGCTTTGATTGTTCAATTTTGCGCATGTTTATAAGAATAGAACAGTACCCTTCTTGGCTTTTGAAGAGAAGAGTTCTAAACCCAGCTGAGGTTAAGGATTGGGCTGATTTTTCTCCATACTTGTGAGGGACTACCTCGTCAGCTGCATTTTGGGTTAATAAGGGTTAAGATAAAATTACAGAGTTGTTCTGAAAAGTAGTCATGAAATGGTTGGAAATATGAGTTTGTTTTGATCTCTTTTTCTCCTTTTCAAATGATCACTTTAAACTGTAGAGAATCACTATCTTTTTAAACAAGTTGTGAAAGTTGAAACCCTGAAAAAGAATGGCTGCAGGAATATATTCCAGCTTTCTCAAAAATGCTGATTGAAGTCGTGTAGTTTGTCAGATGGTTAAACTCTTGAATTTGAACTCACCTTTGTATGCAACAAAGCTAAGTGAATTATTCTTCAGGTCAGCTAGAGAACAAAAACATTAACATTAGCTGAATGTTTTAGACACTACCCACCTGTTCCATGAAACTGTAAGATAGGAATTGATGCTGCTCGCCTTGTAGCCTCGTGTGATGCCTCGAATTTGTTTCTTAAGCTCCTGTAGGACATATTCAGCATCTTATTTAGTTCTATATGAGCACTTATCAATCATGGAGTTTTTTTCCTTAGAAAACAGACCTAGATCCAGGAAGCCAGCCACTAAGTCCAACGATTGCCCTTAGGTAGATGGGGTACGGGGCTCCGTTTCCGTATTTCCCAAGAGCACAGCAAGTTGCAGAGTAAAGTGCCATTGCAGCTCCCATACTGAAGCCTCCAATCCCAACTTTGACTGTCACAAATAATTGAAGTAAAAAGTTTTATTCTTCATCAAGTTGGGGAATGAATACTTTGATGTGTAGAAAGTTATGTTGTTTTGGATTAATTAAGTACTAGAGATATTTGGGAGATTGAGATGCAAATAGCTCTCAGCATACCATCAGATGGTTCTGCAGACAGCAAGTTTGCAATATGGGCAGCAGAGGCGTCAAGACCTTCCCAATCATCTGGACCTTCTTCTGAAAACTCCCCCACATCAAACCCTGAAAAGAATCACATGGAACAGTTTTTAGACTGAAGTAGATATGAACTTAGGAATGATACAATTGAGAAAAGTAGAAGGTTGTTAATCTAACATGCAGTGCAAGGAAAGCCTCCGAGTAGAGATACCGGTCGAGTTGGAGCAGTTGGACAAATCCATTTGATCTGTATATTTGAAAGAAAATGTTGATTAGAATTAGACCCATTTGACATCAAGTTATAGCCCTTTGATGGTATAAATTCATATTTCTTACGTTTGGTAGAGGAAGGGTTTCCAGTAGCTGAGAAGAGCTGCAGTTAACCAGAGAAAAAAAGCAAGAAAGATTAGCTTATTAGATTGTTTATTAGCAAAAAGAAGAAAAAAAAGCTTCACATCAGGAGGTATGATTGATCATATTTCATATAGAACAATTATCTTTTCAAGTTTTCAAAGGTTTAGCAAGTGAACTTCTGGAATTGGTGGGAAAAGGGAAAGGAAAACCTGTTATGGAATATTTAGGAAGAAAAGAAAGTACTATAGAGGGCCCATCTTGTCTGGAGAACCAAATAAAACTTGAACTTAGTCTTATACACACTTTTTCCGAACCATGGTTCCCAAATAAACTTCGGCATAAGATCGTAAAGTTGAAAGGGAAAGTTCAACAACATTTATTCGTACAATTTCTACGGTGCTGTTGTTTTTTTTTTTTTACATTTCATTAAAGTGAGAAACTCAAGGGAAGAATGTGAAGATGTTGACATTATGAAACCACCTTTTCCCTTTTTCGTTTGGCTTAGGAAACAAAGGTAGGCAAGAAACCCTTCTTAAAGAAGATAATAAGTACTTTATTCCAAAGGGAAAGGAATTCAACCGTCCACTGTTGATGGCAAGGCAAGCTAGTAAAATACATCCAACGAAAACAGTCACAGGTTTCTATGATTTTCATGCACAAAAAAGAAATCCTTGTGCTATGCTAGCTTTGAGCCTTATTCAAACAATTCTCGAGTGCGTACCGTACAGTTTTAGATGATTCTTATATGAACAGATGAACTTGAAGGGCTTTAAGCGCCATCAGAAACAATTTAGTATACATACCTAGAGCCATTATCACCAAGGCCATGCAGCCAAACAATAGTGGCCTGGTGTTTTCCTTTGGGCCTCACAACATGTGTCCTTCCAAACTCTAATGGCCTTCTTGCAGAAGATCTACTGCCTGCAGTTTAGTCACGAGAATGAGAAAACCAAAGCAACTAATCCATTCATCAAAGGGAGTGTTGACAAAGATCATGATTTTTTTGATGAACAAGAGAAGAAAAAGAACAAAGAGATGAGAAAGAATGTCATAGTAAACAAACCAGAGCTGATATTAGAATGTGAGTAGCTCATATTGAGAGTTGAAAGAGCTGCAGTTAAGAGGGAGTTGTGAGTATATGCAATGAGGCAGGAGTGTAATATGGTGTGATGTAGAAAAACAACAATGAAAAATGTGTATTTATAGCCAAATTTGGTGATGTGATAATGGAATAAAATGTGGGAGAATATGAATCACTATGGTAGTGTGGTGTGTACACCAGCTACACACAGCACCAAATGGCCAAGAAACTCAGAAAGGGCGAAGCATCTGTGAAAAGGAGAAGTAAAAGACGAGGATAAAAGCAGGAAATCTTTTTATGAACATAAAGAATCACAGCAGGCAGAGCACATTGATCAATCCGCAAGGCTCCCAGCTAGGAGAGAGAGATCTGGATATGCAAAATAGAGAGAATCTATGCTTGTGAGCACTGGGTTGCGGCCAGGAAATAAAGCAAATCCAATATCAAACTTCAAGAATATTACAAGAAATAACAAAGAATAACCCATCAGTTTGTCCAAGGAAATATCTATTATCAATCATTTTTAATGAATTTCTGATCGAAAGTGAAATTTGTTCGAGTGTCCAATCTATCTAATTTTAGCTGGAAGAAATATCTAAATTTACATTTTATACTACCAATGTTCATATGTGGTTACCCACCTGGATGTCTTAAGGGAATCGTGCACAATAAAAAAGCATTTCAACTTTTTCTCTTCTTTTTCTTCTCTTCTGCTTGCCAGTTCTTTGTATTTTGATTGATCTGAGACCCACTACAAAGATTACTTTTGTTTGTATCTATGCACACACGGCCACCATATTGACAACAATTTCTGCAGAATCAAATCATTATTTCATCGTTCAGGGGATTAGAGCTGTTGCTTGTAGTTTTTATTGATTGATATGATTATGCAGCTGAAAAACTGAACTTAAATGATCCATTGGAATCTGAGGCTTATGGAGGTAGACAAAAGTACATGTTCTACGGCTTGTATATTTGCTAATCTTTTAGGAGAACTTAACAAAATACAAAGCTCTTCAACATAACTCCTCCCCTAACACAGATGGGTCGACCTTTATGTTTTGAACTCGATGAGGCTGAACTCAAAATCCCACTTGGGTTTAGAAATATGTTCATCCAGTACTTCTACCTAACTCTAAAGTCTTGTTGATTGAGTATATGAAACAATGAAAGACAAACTTTCCCTTTATTTCGTCCTGAGAATGGCACTGATACAATATTAACGGTCTAAATTCTTGGCTTCCATGGCCATTACATTTGCAATGTTCCCAGTGCTATATTGGAACTTTTTTCCAGGATCATCATGGATGAGCTTCTTATGGAGGAGGTTCTGATAGCAGAGCATTACAGATTTTCAAATATTTGGTGCGAGGAATAGATTCTACAGCTGAAAAAGATCATTTTGACAACACGCTCACCACTAAGTGGCTACACAGAGGTCAGGTAAAAGGTCTCAGTGAATTCTAGACCACTAACTTTTAGTCAGATCCAATATAATGCAACTTCCAACTCTAACAGTGTAGCCATTTTGGAATGAGATATCTCTGTTAATATTGTCATCATTCCTATTCCCCACTGTGGCTTTTCTGATCAAACAATAGTGGTAGGGCTGCAGCCTTGATTGTTGTTGAACTAACATTCTCTGTTCTTTTCATGTTTCTATCTTTTAACTGTGTAAAATCAAATCATACCAGTTTAAGCCTATCGCTAGTAGATATTGTCTTCTTTCAACCTTCCCTTTCGGGCTTCGTTTTTAAAATGCATCTGTTAGGGAAAAGTTTTCACTCTTATGAAGAATGTTTTGTTCTCCTCCCCAACCGATATGGGATCTCACAATCCACCCCCTTTCGGAGCCCAGTGTCTTTGTTGGCACACCGCCTCATGTACACCCCTTTTGAGACTCAGCCTCCTCGCTGACACATTGCCAGTGTCTAGCTATAAAAATTGTCTAGCTATAAAAATTGTCTAGCTATAAAAATTATCTGATTTTGAAAGCTTTGCAAAATAAACAAAAACCAAACTTGTGAGTGCTAGCAAAGAAGAATCTTCATCTATCTTCTGGTTGACCAAACAAAAATGAACAATCTAAACAAATAGAAAAACTGATGTGGCATACAGTGAGTGGTCCATTTTTTATACACCGGAAGCATCTACTTTTCTCTGTTGGTCAATGTTTGGGCACTTTTCCTTCCCTTATGGAAAGAGCAGCTTTTGAGTTTGTCAACTCCTCCTCCTCCATCCCACCCTTTAAAATGAAGAAATAATCCAACTTGATTATAGAATTGGTTTGTGCCTAATTGTGGGCTTAGTTTTTTAACATGAGACAACATATGCTGTTGGCACTACTCTTTGTTGCACATTAAAATACTTCAATATCAAGTTTAGTTTTACACTTCCTTTCTTTCCCCTATTTCTTCTGTTTCTTTTGCTTGTTCTTGTTTTCCTTGCCTCATTGGGTATGGGAATTTGAGCCTAATTAGAAAAGTTATATGCATATTTGTTAACTCAAATCATCTTCTTTTCTATTTCAGATGTTTAAATAGAGTGACAGCATGCCCCATTCCTCATATGGGATGATGGGATGAGCCTCTCCAACCCAGCTAAAGGATATCTTTCTTCTATCTTCACCTTGTGTCTAGACTAGATATAATGAAAGCATAATATCACTAGGCAGGAAGCTGGTGCAAATCCATTGACTAGACATTTGTGAACCACAGCTCAGTAAACTTATTTTCTGTCCTACAATATTTTTTTTTATGTTCCCAAGTGTCTAAGCTAAAGTTATTCTCACGAGATTAATTATTTGGTCTTATTATATGTCGTTGTCAACATAGCTCGTAGAATACGGAATCTTAAGTAAATCATCGTCATAGTTTAAACCCATCAGCTCTTTGTTTTCTACCCTACAAACAATCAATTTGAAAACTTGATAGCTAAACGTCAAGAACTTTTTCAATAGAGTTGGATGGCTAGAGATATGCACGAGGAAACATTTTATGGCAGTTCTTCCTTTCTTATGACTAGCATATTAATGATTCATTTCTTTCAGATGAAGCAGCTGGCATCGGTTCGTAGAACATAAAAAGAGATGGTTGTGGCGCGAAGTACTCTTGTGCACCTACGACACTCGGCTCGAGTGGGACCTATCAGGAGCGGCATTCTCCCTTGACCCGTGAGTGCTCTAATTAGCTATATTTTGTAGATTAAATGGAGAATTCTAGTAGGGGAGGGGTATGAAAGGAAGTGTAACTCGTATGTTTAAAGTACTAATAAGCTTAAGTAAATGAGAAGGTAGCTCCAATGGTTTTGAGAATGGAAGAACAATAATATTTTAAGAGAAAAGATTGAGCATAAGATAATAAAGAAGGCCGCCATTTTATTCTTATCAATGAACAAAACTAATTATTAATTTGGGTAATGCTGATCTATATTTAATTAAGCTAATGAGTATCACACTTTGAGAAGAGCAATAGATATATTAAGAAATTGATTAGCAATAATTAACTTCCTTTTGTCTTGTCAGATTGATATGGGATGGGTTCTGTCCTTTAAATTAAACTAACCTAATTGCTTTAACAATAAAAAGTTAATATTGTAATGCGCTAAATGCAACAAAATATAAAAAGCCTAAAAAAACTATATTCTAGTTGAAGATAGCTTCACTTAATTGTTTAATTTTTTTTTTTTTTTTTTTAAAAAAAGAAATATCATTTTTTTTAATATTTAGTGCTGGGAAGTTGTTCGGAATATTAAATATTTGGAGAAAAAAAGGAAAGGAATAAAAGGTTCCCACCGGGAAATAAAAAGAAGGAAAGTGTTAAACACTTTAGAATAAACTTTTTGTTTTAGGGTCTGAAATTTTGTTTTTTTAAAAAATATTTTGAGGAGAAAATGATTCGGGTGGAATCAAGTATTTTCTTCGAAAGTTTCATATTTTTCTAAAGTTTCCATTTTAGTTTCTAGGAGTTTCTTTCTTAGATGGGTATCTCTTCTATATTCTCCACCATGATCCCTAAATTTATAGTAATTTGTAGAGTGCTATTTTTTAATCTATTTTCCACTTTGGAATATGAATTAAATTTTAAAAATATTTATGTTTTTGGAGATTATTAACTATAATTTCCATTTACGTCCTATTTTGATTCTCTGTTTTTTTCTTTTTTAAAAAAAACATCCTATTTTGGTTACTAACTATCAAAATGTCTTTCAATCCTAAAAATTAAAAAATAATAATTTGTTTGAAGATTAAAACAAAGTCCTAGGGAGAAAATTCTTCAAAGACTACGATTTGGACCTTATAAATGGAATTTTTGTTTCCAAAATCATGAATTTGTGCAGTGGTGGTGTCAATGTATGCATGGAGTATTAACATTAACATCTATAAGTTGATCATCATTGTTAAAAACAATTTTGAAAAGATAAACAACCAATCAAGTCAAAGAACCAGGTTGCCTATGTTAACAAGAATTGCAAGAAAAGGCTTACAGATCAAGGGGAAAAAAACTACCTTTTTCGTGTCCGGGAGGCGTCGAGGCTGAAGTGAACTACAAAAGAGCAGAAGATATTGCAAATTGCAATGTTGGTGTAAACAAGATCTGTAATATAAGTTCTCAAATTATCTTCCAAGATCAAAGGGTGTTGTGAGTTATTGTACTGCCATCTGGTCATGGTAAAGAATTAAGAAGCCTCCAATTATTTGGAAATACATAGAAAGAAGGTTTAAAAAGAGATATGTATGTATCTTCCAACAGAAGACTTGCCTACACACGGAAAAAACTCAGATTCCCATCGTTGCTGAACCAACTGCAAATGAGACACAACAGCTTTAAACGAAAACTGAAGCAATTTCGAAACTTCTCTCATTAAAACTCGTGGTTTATTCTGGAAAGAAAGATGGTTGCTATCAATGATGGTGATCATCATCATTTCCATAACCATCTGGCGATCCTCCAGGTCCCACCACTTCCAGCTGCGAACACGAATTAAAATTAGCAAAACTAGGCGATTTTAGACAAGTAATTAGCAATTAGGACACCAATGCCTTTGCCTTTATCCATTCAAGAAGTGGGATGTTTAGAGAGAGTAAATTACCAGTAAAACTCACCGGGACTCACTAGAATCATGCATTCAAATAATAATCAGAATAACTCAATTGACCTACCGTGAACCTCACATTTGCATGGAGGAATAAAAGTATTATAAGTTTACTGGCATGCAGGCTTGTTAGAAGCCGAGAATCAAATTCATGCCCTTTCGGTTGAAAATATTATATCTTAATCAGTTGAATTGTACTTGTAAAGGTCAACTAAAATGGTTTCTAATCTTTAGTTAGGCTTTGGGGTTTCATCCTCTGCTTTTATGATATTTTATTCTATCAATGAAATTTACTTTATTTATTCATTTCCATCATTCCATATCATGGTAACATAACGTAATAATTTACAATAAATTCTCACCACAAAATACTGTGTGCACACGGGGCATTCATGTGGCTCGCCTTTCTTCAGCCGAAACCAGACAACATCATGCTCATCCTCTACAATTCAAAGGAAGCAACAGAAGTTAGAAATATCGTGTGTTGTGGAACTGTGGAAGAACGAAAATTTAGTTATGTAAATTTTTGTCAGACTTGCATAAAAATGAGGAAAAGCATGAATAAAAGACAGATTGCAAGTACTCACCGCCTTCACCTCCAGGGCATCCAACTAATCTTTCATCATAATATGACTTAATAACAGCAGGATCTTCCTAGAGAATATGAAACTTTTGAGATTTCATCCAAGGAAATAAGTTGCGCAACCAAACCTATTCTTTCATGCACATCATCCCTCAGTATTTTGATATACAATTCAGAGCAAAGCAAGTTAAAGGTTTCGTTAAAGCAAAGTGAACCCTCAGGTAAATAAACCATCAATGACCACTACTAATAAAAGTATTAACATTCAAAGTAAATGTAAAATAAGCAATTTACAGTCTGAATGAGTCTGAGATATCCTCTGATCAAGAAAACAAAAACTCTGTCCAACCTCGCTTCATACTTTATTTCAGTATTCAATATTCCTATTAAAGAAATTGAATAAGAAATGTTTCCTGGAGGGTTCAGATGGAGGGGATTTCACCTTGTCCAATGAATTATGTTCTGTGGCTTGTGCTGTGGTCTTTCTCCCTCTTGAAAATGGAGGTATAAACATATGGACAACCACCATACAAATTTTGTTCTTTACAACTGGCTAAGGAACTTAGTTCTCCTTGGCATGTAGGGATTGCTAACGAACATGGAAAGAACTTCACCAGGTGATTCACAAGGGAAAATTCCTAGAACCATCTTCAGGCTAAAATGGTTACTAATAAATATGGTAACAACTTCACTGGGAAATTCATAAAAGGAAATTCCTAATCTCCCGGTGAGAAGTTTAGATGGCTGTATGAAGTTGTTGCTGACCAGGCAGGAGAACTGGCAAGATGATGAGATAAGGGTGACCATTGTATGAAGTTGCTTTTGAAATTAACAATGACAGATAAGTAATTGAAGAGAAGGCTATCTATGGTAGCAGTTAGATTCAAATCATGCCTCCTTAACCAGACTTCAAGAGTTTGAAATCTCATTTATGCCGATACATTTTCAGTTAGCTTCCTAGATCATGTTTTGGTTTTCTAAGAACCTGCATTCTCCTGGATTTATATAAAATGTTTAGTAAAGCAGGCTATCTAAAAAGTGCAAGGTGTTCCCGTAGTCAATTTTCCCGGAAAGGATAAACACAAATTCTGTTACTCAAAAAACTTTCCTCTATATTTCGCCCAGAACACTTATTTATACATAAAGAATGCAGAATGTAGAATGGGCTGAACAAGTCTCTTCCTGAACTGCCATTTGTCTAAGTGGCTCTGGGTAAGTTCTTCGAACTCTTCAACTTTAGTAGGTCAAAGATCAAGGATAGTTGTTCTTCAAATGTTAGTAGGTCAAAGATCAAGGATAAGGAAAGAAATCTATCGACCAACTTTATTTTTTACATTCTTGGAAGGTGTAGATGAAGAAAAGCAGCAAAGTTTCTAAAGTCGGAGTCTTGTAGAAAAAGATATACGGACCTTGTAAAAATTGTGGCTTCTTCTAGAGCTTCTCATTTTTCTTTGTGGTAAACATGGCTTCTTCTTGAGCTTCTAATTTTTGTTTGTAACTACCCACCCCTTATCTTTATGCACAGCAAAATCTAGAGCCTTATGAAAATTTCTGTATATTTATTTAATCAATGAAATTGCTTTCTGAAAGGCCCCCAATTTCCATTTGTTAAAAGAGAAGGGGTAAGAAAAGGATTACACCATTGACAAGTTAGTTGGAGGTCAGAAACGCGGGAATGGGAGACCATCTGATAGATGTTGAGAATGTTGGGAGAGAACATGCGCGGGGGACAGAGTATTTTAGGCTTAAGGCCAACTTTATTTTCTTTCATGCTTTTGTCTTTTTGCTTTTTGTGAGGGAGAGGAGAGATAACCACTCATATCTGATCAGTTGAGAGAACTTGTATTGCCTTGGGGCAAAGTTTTTCCTTTGTCCATCAATATATCATAAGGGGAACCTTACATATTGGTTTCGGAGCATCTCATTCTAAGGAGATTGGGAAAAATGGCCCAAAAAATAATCAAAGAAAGATAAGATGTGACGAATCAAGAGATTGGAAGTATTAAAGAGAACACAATAACTTACCGGCTATTGAAGGAAGGCTATCAAAGGTAGTTGAAGGATCAAGTTAGAAATAGGAGTGATAGTAGTTTGACATAATGTCCAACCCAAGTGAGGTGGAAGGGCGCAAACGGATTCAGGAGAAATAAGGGAGGTAATTGGTGACTTGAGAAAATTCAAAAACGTCAAGATGCCTGTGTTTGGGGTCAAGGATCTGAATTTGTGGCTTTTAGAAGTTGACAAGTATTTCTAAATTCATAAACTCATCGATCCTAAGAAATTGATCATAATTGTGGAGAGTTTTGAAGGGATGGCCTTAAACCAATACTATGGGAAGGAAGAGAGAAAAGCATTCAAGAACTAGAAAGATTTGAGGATTCATTTGCTGGAAGAGATGTTGAAGGTCGATAGACCATCTATAGTACAAAGGGCTAAACATAGTCCTAAATCACCTCAACCAAGAATGCCGCACATCACTATACTCTTAAAACAAAGATAGATGAAATAAGACCATTACCCAAAAAAAAACTCAAACCTACAGATTTGTCTTAGAAAGTGTCGTTATTTCTTTTCAGTATGATTTCCAAATGAAGGGTAGGAACTACATACATCCAAAAGTTGTTCAGTCCTTTATTACTTGATCTCCTTTTAGGTACATCCAAACTAAAGAGAGCATGCATAAACTTTTTTATTAACCTAAAAGCCCTCCAACTTCAATAGTGATTTGGCACATAACTTATGGGAAAACACAGAAACAAATACAAGTGTATAATTCACCATACAATGTTGATTTATGTACAACAAATAAAACATCAATATGGAGAATCAAGAAAAGAAGCAAAAGGGCCTCCTTGAGCGGCATAAGACACAACCCGACCCAACCCAACCCAAAGTGTGGGAGAATAAAATTAACTGCAAATTGTACCAACCTTAGTGCCGAAAGGGCCAACAGGGTTGTCTATATCGAGGATGTCTCGTCCCTGAAAACATAAAACAAAATGAAATGAGACTCACCTTCAAAACGAGAAAAACATTAGATGCCAAACAACTAAAATATTTACGTAAACCAGACTCGTCCAATATGAGAAATGTGTCAGTAAGTTTAAGAAGCCACTAAATACAACATTTTGATCGGAGGATGTTTTGTCCTTTGGTGCCTTATCATTCCAGAACTTTCAGCCCAAGAAACCCAGCAGGTTATTTGCTCAGCTTGTGCATTTTAATGCTTGCTCAATCATTCTGTTGGTACCTTTAAGCACACTTGGACATTGGTCGCAGGTAGCTTATTTTATTCGTTGATTATCACACCTATACCTCTGTAAAATCTTCTACATATTTATAACAGAAATGAGTTCACGTCATCCTCATACAGAAATTTTTGTGGTAAAAAAGTACCCTAGTTCTTTTCTTCAACCAATTCAAGGAACAGCAGGAATCATTTGTTCGATAAATTGACCATCCACTAATATAAATAACATGATATATATAGAAGTTCGACATTGGCCTTCTCATGAAAATTGAATCAATCAATTAACGTATAGCTATAAATATTCACCTGCATTTAATTTTTGAAAGTGATGGAAACCATCTTACCTATTTTCAATTTATATTCCGCTGGTTTTTTCAACATCAAATCCTAAAAAAAAAAAAAATATGAAAGCACGCAACGAAACATGAAAAAATCACCTCAAGCGCAGCTTCGAGCTCTTCGCGCTCGTGTCCGGTTGCAATCGGCATTACATCCTCAACCTTCTTCTTCAAACCAGCATCAGCTAATTTTCAATACAAACAAATCAATAATCACACGAGACCGAATCCACGTCCGCACTCATACTATAGATTCATTTTCATACGCACAGCAACAGACAGTACAAAAAGTAATAATCCACAAGTTAAAGAGAATGAAAATCCAAAACAAAGAGTAAGATCTACCAGCCTCGACGCCGTAATGACGAGCGTAGAACGAAACGTGTGGCGACGGAAAAACATGAGATGAAGCAGCTACAGTAAGTCGTGAGGCTCTGGAAATGAATCCCAATGGAGCAGATGCTGCCGCCGATGTTGAAGGAAAGGATTTCAAGGCTCTGAGCTGCGAAAAGAGCAATTTCCTCCACATGGTTAGTGATTCTCCAGTAATGATCTCAGGTCACTCCCCTTCGACGGCGAACTGATTACCCTCTCTCTCTCTCTCTCTCCCCTTCTTCTTCTTATTCTTCTTCTTCTTCAGCGTTTTGGTTTTGTAAGTGGAGAGATGTAGAATAAGTCAAGTGGAGATCCGGCTGAGACCGAGGGTGGTTCAGTACCCCGATGGTTTGGCACGAGGGTATTACATGACACGTGCCGCGCGAAAATTTTCCCACTTAAATTACCCACTTGTATTTTACTAATTTAATTTTAATCCGTGTCTGACGTACTAAAATTAAAATTTATTTTTAATATCGTATTTGATTTGTGAATTTTAAACTAATTTTAAATAAATGAGTAACCTATTAAACTTAAAATTAAAAATTCAAATACATAATGATTTTTAATATCGATAAATTACCCTACAACATGATAAATTAACTATTAACATTATCAAATTCATTTTTTAAACGAAACTATTAGTATTATATTTTAGGGGAGATACACCAACACACATGTATTATTTATTTTTATTTTTTTGGTTGATTGAAGATATATTTAAATGGCTTGTCAACTCAATTTTTTTTTAAAGCTTATGGTAGAGTCCACTAGTATCACAAAAAATATATTTATAAAGAAAAATTATAACGTGAACAAAGGGAACATTATATTTTTGCAGCACTTGATCCTTTTAAAAAACAATTTATTGACAAAAAAAAAAAAAAAAAATGACGTCTTTGGCGGCGCTTGGGATGAAATTTCAAACTTAATTATTTCTTTCTATATTATTAAATAAAATGTTGTGATTATCGAGATAACTTAAGTGATAATAACAAATTTCAGTAATAACGTTATGCTCTAAAATGCTGGGATATCAATACCTAAATTATATTTTCTGAAAACGAAATCACCTTCAAACAAACTTGGGTACTATATGCATTAAAGCTCAACGATGCCATAAATCGTATCATTTAAAATTCCAAACTAACAAACATAACCATTCAGTCTTAAATATTTAGACTACTTATTAATAATTTATAATTATTTATACTTGTTTCTCAACTCAAATTCATCTAAATAAAATATGATTTTCCATCCAAAATTTTTAGGTAGAAAAAAAGTGGAGAAAATATGGAAAACCACTCGTAAATAAAACATTCCGTCTCCAATCCACATATATTAACTTTCAGACTACAATAATCGTGAGAAAAGACTTCCGACACCACAATACCATCAAGAAAAGATGTCTGAAGACCAAAGTGGGTTATGAAAAAAATATTACAAGATGCAAAAGGGCAAGTATGCAAAATTTTAGATTTGCAATAGAAGTGACAAAGGAATTGTACATAAAACCACTTCAGTAAAACAGCCATTTCACACTTCCTAATAACTGGGCTGGCTGGTTTTCTTAAGTTCTCAAAGTTATTTTCTAAGATCAATGGGTTTTGTACTGGAAGGTAATGGAAAAAGAATTGAGAGAGAAGCCTCCAATTATTTTGAAACGCATAGAAGAAGAGTTTTTAAAAGCCGTACTTCTAGCAGATGACTTACCGAAAAAGATCAGATTCCTTTGTTGACGAAGGAACTACCGCAAAAACAAGAACCCGCAGAAAACAATCAAGCCACAGTTTTAAATAAGAACTGCAGCATATTGTGAACTTTGTCTCTTCTAAAAGCCAAGGTTTATTCTAGGAAAGGGCATGGTTGCAATTAATGCTGATGATCATCATCTCCATAACCATCCGGCGATCCTCCAGGGCCAACCACCTCCAGCTGGGAACACAAATTACGATTAGGAGAAGTCTGCAACTCGACAAGTAATTTTAGACAACAAACCTCCATCCTATCAAAGGAGAAAGTATGATAACATGGAAGAGAGAGACAGAGAGAAACTCTAATCCCTAAGTGGAACATACACACATACATGTATTTGAAAAGAATATTTATAGTTTACATCTCAAAGGGCGTGATTTCATTACAATCGAAGCATTTTTGGTCATGTACCCAAACATCGTAAAAGAATTTGAAAATTATCTGCAAAATTAGATCAAAACATTTTTCACAGTTACGGTATTGACTGTTAGTATTTTCAGTAATGCGTGTCCTTCCCTTCACATGCAGCTATACTTGAACATGCTGGTTGGAGAATGCCAAATTTTGTGAAGGTATAGAATCCGGGATTTATGATGGAGGTTTTGTTGGAAAGAAACAGTAAGAGTTTTCAAGGTGAAGCTAAAAAGTGGCAAGAAATTTGGGATCTGGCGACGGGTGTTAGTTCCCTCCTCATGAAGCTCTATATAGTAAGGTAAAAAATCCAGCATTTAATATCGTGCCAACTGAACAATAATAATTTAAAAGTTCTCACCACAAAGTACTGTGAGCAGACAGGACATTCATGGGGTACATCCTTCCTCAGCCGAAACCAGACCACATCATGCTCATCCTCTACAATAAGTAAGGAAGCAACAGAACTAAGACGGAAATTCCAGTGTAATTGAAGAACACAAAATTTGCTTATATCAGACAGCGCAACGCTCATGAAAAGGCATGGAAAAGAAGAGATTGCAGGTACCCACCACCTTCACCTCCAGGGCACCCAACTAATCTTTCGTCATAATATGATTTGATAACAGCAGGTTCCTCCTAAAGAAATAATAAGTATTGAGATTTCTCGAAGAAATAAGTCATGCACGAAAAATCCTACTTTCATTCACATACACTAACACTTAATTTCTATGCACGAGGGCACAGACACTATAAAGAGCAAAGAAAGTTAAAGGCTTCATGGGAAAAAGTGAGTAGTTTTTGGACAAAAGCGAATAGGTGAATGAATAGTCAAAGTCATAGATACAAAATAAACACAAGGTACAAACTAACCAGAAACAAAGAATTCAGCATTTTCCAGACTTGATTATAAAAATCAAAGTGAAAGAGGATCTGACCAAAAATTATGAAAAGATTGTAACACTGAAAATTGAAACCGCCAATTCATGCGCTTTGTAACAAATAAACAACAGTTACGAGTTCAGAGAAAGGGATCAAAAGAGCCACTATTTCTGCAGCCAATCACAAGCACAACTTTAAAAAACAAAAAGCCTTTTAGACCAGATAAAATAAAACTGGTTCAAAAAGAAAAATAGGACCCAATTCCTTGAATGACCCAATTTTCCAGGACTTGATTTAGGTTAGTGGGCTGGTGAAGAACAATAGAATCTTAGAGAAAATGCGTGAGATAGATATAGAGAAAGTTGCATAATTTCTTGCTTCTAAATGTAGCACAAAGTCAAAGAAGTCAGAATTTTCACTTCTTTTCTGATTCAAACCAATTGGAGAGGTTTTCTGTCAGCTCCTTGGTTGATGAAGAGGAAAGAATTCCTCCCCAACCAAAATTATGATACACCTTGGAGATGAAAGAAAGTTAAATGACATGGATAATTAGGAAAAGAAAGGGAAATAACTAGACGCAAAATCTCATATCAATTCACAAAGATTATGGGAGTCCAAGACCTGAATGAAATAGTTCGACATGAGAAGATATCATGATAGCATAACAAAAGTGTAAAATAAATTCAAGTGAAAGTAAACTCAACATATACTGCTATCTCGTCATGCCTTGAAATCTACATGAAATAAACCTTGGATAAAAAGCTAAAGCGTCTGATTTATTTCCAACAGACAAAAAAAAGGCAACGAAAAATTAATCACAAAACACACTAACCTTAGTTCCAAAAGGACCAACAGGATGGTTTATATCAAGGATGTCTCTTCCCTGCAAACATTAAACCATCGAAATGAGACTCACGAAAATACATCGGCGACCAGCCTATCAAATAACATAAACCAGACAGTTGGAAAATGAAAATGAACCGATCAATTTTCTGAACTAAAATTACCATGCCAGACTCCGTGTGGAAACAAAAACGAATCAATCAATTAAGCCATGAATTTCAACCTACTTTGTAGTCCGGTGAATTTCACAACATCAAATAAAGGGGGGGAAAGCACGTAACGGAAAGAGATCCAGGTAAGCAAGAAATACAAAAACACTTCACCTCAAGCGAAGCTTCAAGCTCTTCACGCTCGTGTCCGGTTACGATTGGTATTACATCCTCTGCCTTCTTCTTCAGACCAGTATCAGCTACATTGAAAAATAAATTTGACAATCGCACGAGATCAAAACCACATTCGAGCACATATTATAAATTCACAGACTGTAAAATACTTAACAAAGCACGCATATACATTCTAATCGATTAATAACTACGCGAGACCAATTCCACATTTGCAGTTTCGTTCAAATATCATAGATTTACACATACAACGACACAGACTGTACTATACACAACAAACGATCCACGCGTAAACATTCTAATAAATTAACAACCACACGAGACTAGTTTCATATTTCCACATTCGTGCTCATACATACAGTAACAGAGACAATTAAAACCCGAAGAAAACAGCAAGATCTACCAGAATCAGAGGCGTAATGGCGAGCGAAGAGCGAGACGGACGAGGAATGAGAAACACGAGAAGAAGCAGCGAGTCGAGTGGCTTGAGAAATGCATCCCAACGGAGCGGATGCGGGCGTCGATGATGAAGGAAGAGATTTTAGGGCTTTGAGCTGCGAAGAGAGCAATCTCCTCCACATCGTAGATTGAAATCGGTGAATCCTCCGTCTATGTTCTTGCGCAGCCCTTCGACGGCGAATTTGGCTCTCTTTTTCTTCGCTCTCGCGCCCTTGGGCTTCTCAATGCCTTTAGGAAATGGGCAGAAACGCGGAACTGGTCAAAGATATGGTACAGCTCATTTTAAATTTAGGTTAAATTATAAATCTGGTATAGAATTCAATGTTTATTTTTTTTGCACGAAAAAATCAAATTTAAAAATTGAAAAGCATAATAGGTATTATATTAAAAACTTACGAGTCCATTAAAAAAAAATTTAATATTTAATAATCTAATATTTCACTAATTTTAGGTCAACACAACATACGGTGGTAAATTCAAAGTTTTTACATTTTTATATAATATAATTTGTCAATCCTCCGAACATTAGGGTCGCTCCTACCTATAATTGGTCAAATTATCTTTAAAAATTTACTACCAAATTTGAAAGGAAAAAAA